ATATATACATGCCCGAAGGATATAAATCCGGAAAATGAACGATGGCTTGCGGCTAGGCCGTGGGTGTGTAAGTATATATAAAGAGAAAAGGGCCGCGACGAACGAGTTTGTTAGAAGCACGAACGCAAACGAACGTGCGACAGAGAGAGATTCTACGTTAGTAGAGGCACGTCGTTGAGAACGACGGAGCTGGCAGTGCGTGAATTTTGGCAGTGACGCGTTTTCTCTTTTGCATCTTCTGGTGTCGATCTTTCGATTCCCTCAAAAAGAAAGGAGCGATCCTCGATATATCGTCCTCGCGGGAAGATCAGCGGATACAGAGAGATTATATCGTTTTTTTAGATAGCTGTCGGGTACTCGCGAAGTAGCTTGTCTCAGCGACGACGAGCCGTGTGGCTTGCGAGTACAGGATTCGCGTAGTGTAATATGCCGTTTCGTTACGATAATTTCAACTAAGTATTTACATTTACAACATGCGCGTTCGCGACGCGCAGCTCGGAAAAATTAATTGTAAATCCATTAAAACACGTGCCTCGCGGAGTGAACGCAACGATGGCGCTATTCTCGGAACAGCCGCTTCTTACGATGCATTTTTCACCCATGCGCATCAACTAGAGATCTATTCGGTTATACACTTATACATTCGTACTTTTTTTTAATAATAGTAAGAATAATTATAATCGATTAATTACCGTAGAGCTCTTAATTACAATTGTATTGGCAGTGTTTCTTAGCTGGTGTGTATGTAATGACGTACCGTCTGTCTGTGTGTGCCTCATGCGGTCTCCATTTCTCACAATCGCTCGATCATTCTCATTCACATTTCATCTCTTTTATTCCATCCATGTTTCTGAATCAATCTCTCACTCTCAATCGTTCAACACACACACATGACACGACACATATCCATCTCCTTAATTTAACGAGCCTTAATTTACATCAACCTTTATTCACTACACATACGCGCGCGGACGTTGCATCGCTCCACGATGTTGCGAGGAGTGATCGTGGTCGCAAAAAGAATTGCTTTTGTTTTCTTTCTCGCGACCACGACGGCTAGCTACGCGGATCGTGGACACGGCACACGTCGCATTCTTTGTTTACTTTTCACATTCTTTCCTTAACAACTCCATGGGAAATGTAACACAGCCTTCGTAATTTACCCTTTTTGAGGATAACAGCTCATAGGTCGCGCTGCATGCTTAGCTACTATCGTTTCTCTTCATTAGATTGAAATTTAATTGATAAAAATCTCTCGCAAGTAAATTTTTGAGTCACGATGAGCCTATGAAAACATGCCGCGCGAGACTCAGCAGAAAGATAAAAATAACGCGACGATAAAGTACATGAGAAATCGAACACGTCTCGGGCGCAAAAAACGAGGCAAGCTCGACGTCCCTTTGTGAGAGCTCGCTTGCCTCAAACCCTGAGGGATCACCATCTCTTTTCCTAAATTTTTCATTTTTGTACATTGCATTATCTCTACGCGTTTCGTTTCTAGGAAAAAGAGTAATTCTCGAAAAAAATCTCGGTGGCGTACGTGTCGTCCGATTATTCTGCAATCTTTCAACTTCATGCCGAGCTATCAAGTTTGGAGACTGTCAACCCCATTCAGGGAAAAAACGGCGGGTTCGAAGCGATATCATTCAGTCTCTCTCTTTCACTCTCATTCTTTTTCATGCATACTTTCGCATTCTCATCTAACAGCCTAAGCATCTCCTCCGCGATTTTTTCTCGTTCTACGATACAATTTTCTGTGTCCGCTTCGTGCTGTCCACGATCCTCTTCTTCGTGTCTTTCTCTTATGTCCCTTTCCATGTCATCGTACGACAACAGTCGACGCGAATTTCAACCGAGTTGTAAATCGAAGTAGACGCATCTTCCTTTCTTTTTCTCGAGGCATCGTCGAAAATCGTAAAGATACCGTCAGTTCTCGGAAATGCCAAGGGGCCGATGTTAGATATTAATTGAATCCTAAGGCCACCAGAGTGATTATCTCCTTATAAATTGTAACTACCGCTTAAACATTTGGTCTGTGCACTCCCTCGGTTTCCTTTGGCAAAACCAAATTACACAAGAATTCCCCTTTACTGCTTTCTTCCTTCATTTTTCGCTTTTTTGTCTTTGACTATCGATACTACCGTTTCCACCGCGCATCTATTCCTGGAATCTTGATCGGCGGTAGAACACGGTACAAAACGTATCCACGGTGAGGCACTTTCGAGACCCAGACTTGGCGCTTCCGAGGCCGACGAACTTCGAAATATGCGAGGTACTCGTGGCAGGGATCTGCATAAAATTTATCGCATTAGTTAGATGTATCCTTTAATGAACGATGACAAAGAGTATGCTCGTTACAACGACCAGCAACGCTCTAATCCGACTCAAACAGGGGACGGATAATCGTATCCCTCTTTTGTCCTTTCTCCAGCTGTATATCCTCCTTTTTTTCTTATCGCTACACTGTACGCTATTCGATTCATTCTGAATTTATTATCTTTCGCGTGATTTTCTCCCTGTCGCTGCGATTCTTATCTTCTAATCGATCTGAATTCGCAAAAGAATTGGTCCTTCTCCTAGATTAGATAAAGTATCTTCTAAACGTGCTTTCCGTCTCTCGATACGTTCGGGTATTTTCAGGTCGCATTGTCCGCGGCCTTTGTCTTCACCGACCAGGAAGAGTGTAGACCGTGTCCTGCTCGTCAATCGGCAGCACTTTGTTCTTCCTCTCTGGTTCAGGTGTAAGTGCTCAGGTTAGGTCAATTCTGGTATCCGGTCAATCGGCCGACATCATCACGAGTTCTTTACTGGTTTCCGGCGTTGCTTCACTCTCGTCGTCGGCGGCGCAAGACTGCTTATCGCTGGATAGAGAGCCAAACTCATCTCTTCCGCATTACTGGCGGCCATCTTGCGAATATGTATGTGCTTCGTGCTTTGTACTTCGGATTCTAGTACCCATTCGTCCGGTTCTCTGCAGAAGAAACACGCGAAAATGAGAAAATTGATGAGTCATGCGGCGATGTTATCAGTCGCGCGATTAAAGTATTTAATTATTATTAGATTGTGTGTGTGTGTGTGTGTGTGTGCGGAAAGAACTTACATATCCTGGGGATGCCATCGCAGCAGTACTTTCGTCTTTCCGTCCGACTCAACTCTCCTCGCTAAAACCTAAAAGAGCAATTTTTCTTAAAGCGAATCTTAATCGACAAGTTTAACAATGCATTACGGTGGTTTTACACTCGCAACTTACTTGACTAGTTAGTGCCATCGAGTTTCCTGGCGTTTCAGCTAGTCGCCCCTGCGTTCTCGATGCCGCTAATCCCTGTAGCCTATGCTGAAGACCTTCCATCACTCCCGAATCAAAATAATCAAAAAGTCTCGCTGTAAAGACATTACGATATTCAACGATGTGCATCAAACATTTCTCATACTATCAATTTGTGATGAAATATATTCATTGCATTAAAAAATGGCAAGAACTCGCAAGAATAATGCGCGCTGATGTTAATATTACAGACTAGTTCGAAAAATTATAATTAAAAAAATCCATCGAAGAGGTGTTATAACGTGACACTCACCAGACCAAGGTTGTCGCCTATATCTAAGCTTCTTGCCGTTCCTCCTAACAAGTTTGCCGCCATTCTCGCAACTGCGTCTTCCGTTATTGCTACTTGTTTCCGACTGATTAAAATGTCCGTTCACGTGCCTCTCGAGTGCGGTCTATAAATAAATGCATATTTTATAATCTTCGAAAACATATCCGGTCGAAAATCAGTATCGCGCGGCGAGTCCGCGTGTTTTACCTGAGAGCTAAATCTGCAACCGCAACCGTCGACGATGCATCGGAAGGGTTTGTTGCCACCGTGAGACAAAACATGTCTCTCCAGCCATCGACGGGAACACGAGGTTCTTCCTTGCACCTTACAACCTTGCCAGTGGCAAACGAAGTTATCACCACCTGTTTGCGTGTTGATGTGTGCAGCCTGTAAAAGATAATAAATATAGAAATGAGCATAAGCTATAGATTTTATATTGTATCGTGTGCGACGTTAATAAATTTTCCAGAAGGTATGAAAAGAAAGCTGATTAATGCGAAAAATATTGCGCGAAGATTAAAGTATTTTCCGTTCCTATACCTGTAAATGTTCCAGAAGACCGCCCACAGATTCGAAGCTGGCTTCGCACTTATCCCAGCGGCAGATCCCGCTATCGGTAGCCTGCGGTCTATCCTTCTCGGGCACTCGCGCCGGAAATCGGATAGTAGTCGGTGCCGAAAGGATGGGCGACAACGACGGTTTCGATTCGCTGCTTCGGGAATCCTCCTCATCCACATCGTCCTCGTCGACCGGCGTTGGCTGCGCGTCCTTGTCTTTGCTGTCTTCCTTCGACGGCGACGACAGCCTCGAAATAGGTGAGTCGCGACCGCCTTGTGACCTCAACGCGCCCAGGATACCACCGCAGCTGTTCGTCAAATTGTTGTTCTCGTTCACGTGTGGTTTCGACAGGATGCAACCCTTGAAGTCCAGTGGCACGGGCTCGCCCAGTAGCGACGAGGCAGCGGTAGCAGGTGGAGAGCTGCATTTGGCCGTATTGATATTCACGTCCGAAGTTAATCTGTGGAAAAAAAATAGTCTTTAATTTGAGAAAACAGATTTACTTACCATGTTTCTTGCCTTCCCACCTAAAAATGTTTCCTATAAAAAGATAAACAACCTCATTTTTGCGGTGAATTAATTTTAGTATTATATAATCCCAGCTGTACACACATCCAATAAAAGGCCTGGAGAATAATACCTTCGGGACCTGTGGGATTCCACACACACTTAATTCTTCATAAAATCTGGAGATATTATCCTCAAAAAAGGAATCGTACCAGAAAAATAAAGTTTCAAAAATATGATGTACGCGACATACTTTTGGTGAGACACCGATGTACGGTGTCCCACCCCTGTTATCTTTTACACTAAAAGAGATAGACCATAACAAATATATATCAAATTAAATGGTTCAAACTGAACTCTATTGTGAGCACAATTGTTGCTTTCAAAAGCTATCTGTGTTAACGAACGGAGAGGTATGCATAATTTTTTTCACTCGTGCATTAGAGATTGACATATGTCATGTTGTCATTTGATCATAATATTCAATCCGAAGAGTTCAGTTTGAACCATTTAATTTGATATATATTTGTTATAATCTATCTCTTTTAGTTTAAAAGATAAAAGAGGGAGGCCACTTTTAGTGGGACACCCTGTATTCTTTTGACAGAAATGTAAGCCAACCCAGTTAAGTAATCCAAACTTTCCAATCAATGTGTGCGTCTAATAGCAAACGAGATAGTGAAATCAGCGCTTTTGCGAAAGACGGCGAATTCAAAATCGGAATATCTATACCTAAGGGATGAGATCTTGGACAGATTCTTCAGTACGTCATTCGAGATTGGCAAAGTTGGCAGCGGCTTCGGCAGTTTCTTGTCTATTTTGCTATTGGCCCTCGGCACGACGACCAGCGGCGGCTTCTTCGCGACCGCCGATGGCGATGTTAGCGTTCTCGCTTCCCAATCGTTAGTCGAGGTGCCGCGGCTCGGGTTAGAGGACATTGCGTTGCCCAGGTATTTAGCAAGTCCACCCTTGTTCCTCTGCACCGTAGGTGGTCTCCGAAACTCAGACGAGCTCTTTGCTACTACCACTGACATTTCGCTTGCTTTTTTGACCTGTCAACAAAAATGCGATTATGTAACAATAGAACCATTGTATATTTATTTATTTTTATCAACTAGAATATTATCTTAAAATTAAATAAAGGATAATCAAACGGAAAGTTATTTACATTTTCCAATGAAAAAAACGACCAAAGTAATAATGTTAATAATGTCCATATTAAAAAAAATAATGGAAGAAATAATTAAAAATGAAATATCAAATAAGAATTTTATAATAACAAGCAGTATATTCGTCAGGCAAATGTTTATATCTGGCGTGTTCTATATTCTCTGATAAACATCTCGGTAACATTGAAAACATTTTTGTTTTTGTTGAAGCAAATTCAGTATTGTTTGGATCGCAGCATTGAAATAATCTATTAAATAAAAAAAAAAATTCAATAAGCAGGATTGTAAAAATTTAAAAAATTGTTTATCTAGATTTTTTTATTTGCCTCTCTCTATTTGTTTCTCGTAATCGTAGTATAATTAATCATCTTCCCTTTTTTGCTTCGTCTAATATTAACTTTATTTTCGTACTATAAATAAGAGAAACACACATTTATAACGCTTAAACGTACGTACGTGTGAATTATTGAGTATGTGTCATATTAAATTGTCGATCGATAAAACGAGAGCAGGTTTTCGCGAATTAATATCGACCGATAGGAAAACACTACTTCTGCACAGGCGAATTTAAAAAAAAGCTAATTCAATATCCGATAAATGTGCGAGTGTGCTGATAAGGCAAATCTATAATCTGAAGTATTCGCGTGAAGTAAAGAGTGATATCTTCAATACTTCCGTTACGTTGATTTTATCGAGAGAAAACGCTTTCTTTTCCTTGCAAGTTTTCTTTTACTTTAGTATATAACTGCGTGACTTTTACAAATTAAATTACAAATTAAATGTCGCCGAGCACGATTGATATTATGCAATTTTATAATATTCAATTTTAAATATCTACAATTCGCAGATTAAAATTATCCGTTTCAAATTAAACAAAGAACAAGCTTTTCTTTACAATTGTACACTCTT